CTGGGTGGCCGGTCTCACAATCGTGGCAGTCGCACAGGATATGTGCACATCTACGATGTGGAAAAGGACTGCTGGGAGGAGGGCCCCCAGCTGGACAACTCCATCTCGGGCCTGGCGGCCTGTGTGCTCACCCTGCCCCGATCCCTGCTCCTTGAACAGCCCCGCAGAACCCCTGACCGCAGCCAGGCTGACCCAGACTTCGCCTCAGAGGTGATGAGTGTGTCAGACTGGGAGGAGTTTGACAACTCTAGTGAGGACTAGGGCTTTGGTGCCTGGCATCAGAGGGAGGGTTGGCTGAGGCTTCAAGGGCAGTATGGTCCACAGGCCTAGGTCAGCACACTTGGCCCTAGAGTTGGGCACTTCCCCTGGAACCTGTGGCTGGACAGCTCCTGCCACCCTATCTTTACTCCAGCCCTTCAGTGTTTGAAAGGCTGATGCAGACCCTGTCGTTGTGGATTATGTTACACTTGGAAATGTTCCCAAAAGGCCATAGTCCTTTGAGGGAGTGACCAAGCCCAGTCCTCCTTGGTGAGCCTTGGAGGTCTTACATCACCAACTGTCTTGGGTCCCCCTTCCCTCCTTGGATCTGGTCCCTGATGGACTAAAGAGGTCCCTTCTCCAACAAGACCTGGGGACTGGGAGCCCAGGCAGAGGCACTGAGGCACATGGCACCCACCCTTCCTTCCATAACCAGGGCAAGGCTGCATGAGCAGCCAGACCTTGAGTGATCGTGCCCTAGAGGGCAGTGAGGGATCAGAGACACGTGAAGTTGCCTGGTACTGGTTCTTGTGATGAAGAGATCCCCTCCCATTGGGTTTTTCTGACCCTGTGTTGTTGATAAATGGAATAAAGCATTATACAAAAGATGTTAACTGTTTTCCTGTGGCTACAGCCTTCGTTCCTTTCTACACAGTGTCTGAGCAGCATCCTGGAGAAGGGTGGTTTTCCAAGGTCACAGTTGTCCTGGAGGCAGGCTGTGTTATGGGAGCTGAGCTCTCACTGAGAAGTGAATAGCATTGTGTGGTTAACAGGAAACCAGGAACCTGCTCTGGTCTGGTGGCAGGTGGCTGCCCCACCTGCTTCAGCAACTTCTCTCAACTAGGGCCAAGTAAACTTAAGTTCAGCTCATTAGAAATCTCTCAGGGCTGGGCTGGGGATTTAGTTTAGTGGTTTTGCCACCTGTCTTGCAATGAAAGGACCCGAGTTCGATCCCCGGTACCAAAAAAAAAAAAAAAAAAGAAAGAAATCTCTCAGGGCTATAGGTGGAGCTCAGTGGTAGAGTGCTTCCCTAGCACATATGAGGCACCTCAAAAATAAACCTGGAGGAAGAGGGACCCAAGTAAACTCTTGGCCTCAGAGTCAGGAAACAGGAACCTCAGCACCTAAAGAGGGAGGCAGCAGCATGTCACAGGAGGGAACCATAAGACACAGCCTTGACTGGGGGGGGGGTACCTATGCCTGGCCCCTCCGCACCTCCTGTCGCATTTCCCAAAGGTTCATCAGGTGACTCTCAGGCATGTTGTCTGAAGGGCCCTTCCCCTACCCACCTATACCTGGGTCTCTCTCACTCCCCTGGAGCCAGATGATCAGCAGCTCTGGGCTCCCCTGGATCTCCTGGGAACTGTAGGGTTGAGGCCCTGAGTTGGTGTCTAACCCCAGGGCTGCACTTGTGACCTTCACTGTCTTGGAGCCTGGGGACCCGTGAGGAAATGACATCACACACAAACACCTTGGAGAGGCAAACCCAGGGTCCCTGATGGGTCACTTCAAATGAGGTGGCATGGCCACATCCTCTAGTGTCATGTCCCCTGCTCCTGAGGGTAAGGTGGGATGATACAGGCTTAGAGTAGGAAACCATTCTGTAAGTTTCAGTTACCCTCCATATCCTGTCTGTGGCATCACCTTGTAGGCCAGGGTAACAATTCCTGCAGAGCCACAGAAGTTTCTGGAGAGGAAATATGCCTGACTACTCTTAACCTTTCCTCAGACTGCCAGCACTGCCCCCACCCAAGCCAAGTGTGGCCACAGGCTTCTGTTCAACAGAGGGGAAAGAATGGGCTATGGAGGTTTGGGTAGTATGGAAGATAAGAGTGTGCTCTGGCAGGGGCTGGACCTGCCTCTGTCTTACCTTGAGGGCCCACACAGTGTACATAGCCACCCTGTGCCCAGGCAGCCCAGCCTGGGGCCTCCACTGTGGCCATGCCGTCAGGCCCTGCTGTCATCGCTAAATCCTCACCTCTCCAGTCCCATCTTCAGGAAGCCACCCTGACGAGAACCAGTCAGCCAGAACTGGGCTTCTCAGTTTGCCTGCACAGTGGGCAGTTCTCGTGGGTACCTGTTGGTGCTTCATCCTAGCATTTACCTGGGAGAGGATGATCCTTCATTCCACCTATAGTTTTTGGTGTGAAGTAGGGGGTGACTTGGTGACTGGGACAATTGAGGGCCCTGTCTGTGACACTCAGTCACCATACACTACAACATGTATGGGCCATATCCAGGATGCTGTGAGATTGAGATGAGACAGGACAGTCCTTATCCTGAGGGCAGTGGGGAGCAGCCAGATGTGAATCTGAAAGGCATACAGGGGTGGGTGAGTAGAGAATTGAAATTTAGGGATGGGGGGGCATCATCCAGGTCATCAAGGATAGGTGTGGAGCAGATCTAGGGGGAGGGGGAAAAGTGGATGAAATTGGAGATGCTTGTTCATGAACTTGGCCCAGCTGAGGTGAGTATTTCCTTCTGCCTAGGGGAGGGTCAGTGCCTGTCAAGCCTGGAGTAGGGCTGGGACAGACTAAAGCCTCAAGGACCTCTGCTGGCCTGTTTGGAGCAGCCACAGTGAGGCTCCATGGGAGGGCCCCCCAGCACAGAGAGGGCACTGCTGAGGTCAGGGCAGTGCCCAGGCTGAGGTGCTCAGAAGTGGTTGGCCTGTTTACTTGTCCCCAAGAAGTGTTTGCATTCATGACCACATTGGTTGGACTTCCCCTCCAGCCTCGCCCCCTCAGCATGGCTGAAGGCTGGGCCAGAGCTCCTGGCTCCTAACCTTCCACCCTGCTCCTCCTCATCCCACCCTCCACCACCAGCCTGCTTCTCCTGCTCAGGCCCTCCCACCTTCATTCCTCAAAAGACAATCTCCTTGCTGGGACCTGGATGCCCAACCTCCCTGCACCAGTGGCCTGGAGTGGAGCCTGCCCTTTAATGCTCCCTAAATCCAGGGTTCCTTCCTCCTGGCTCCCTGGACCTGGGCCTGGGCCTCTCCGTCCTGCTCCCCTCCTGCATTGTCCCTTGAACTCAAAAGGTTTCGTTCTTTTCTGCTTGATGAAGCCAATAACTCAAGAGAGTGATGGGAAAAGAGAGAGCTTTACTAGCAACAGGCTGACAAGATGGAAGCGATCACCCTAAAGTTTCATCTTGCCTAGAGGTCATAGGCTCTAAGCTTATACAGTGATTTGGGGGAAGTATTTTTTAGCCATAGCCCAGTGGGCACCAGGGTAGTCATTAATTCTGCAGCAACTTGCTCCTTTGAGGGGCATCTTATTGTTATTTTAAGGTCACCAGACATTCCAGGTTCTTGTAAATCTAAAGAAAAACTACTACCCAGGTGTGGTGGCACAGGCCTGTAATTCCAGCATTCAGGAGGCTGAGGCAGGAGGATCACTGAAAGTTCCAGACCAGCCTGGGCTTCACAGTAAATTTGACACCAGGCTAGCCTGAAAGGCATTGAGGCCCTGTCTCAAAAAAAAAAAAAAAAAAAGGTGAAGAGATTTTATAAGTGATGTTTATCGTGTCCCCTGCCCCCTTTTGGTACTGGGGATTGAACTCAGGACCTTGCACTTGCAAGGCAGGCAGCAGAACCACTGAGCCAAATCCTTGGCCCTCTTGTTCTCCCTTTTCTGAGAAGGATGATTTTAGCTGGGCATGGTGGTGAACACCTGTAATTCCAGCACTCAGGAAGCTGAGGCAAGAAGATCCCCCTGAGTTCGAGGCCAGCCAGGGCTACATAGTGAGTTCCAGGCCAGCCCGAACTACATAGGGAGACCCTGTCTCAAAAAACAAACAAAAGATGACTTTAGCAGTTAATTATTTAGGGAGTGAGGTACAGGGGAAGCAAAGTGAAAGAAATGCTAGGGACAAGTTAAGCCATTCCTCTGGTCTGATGTAGGGGTTCCCATTTTCCAGCCCTGATCCACCTTCTGGATTTTCCCCTCTGCCTTTCCAATAGCCTTCTCAAGCAGAACCTATTTCCAAGGCTCCCCAGTCTTTTCAACCCTTACTAGGGCCGCAGTGTGTCATCCTGATGTCCATGCTGCCCTACGGTTTTACCCCTACATTCTATCAGAGCCCACGCCTGGGCATTTCTACCTCTATCTCATCTTCCATCCCTGCAGAGACCCCCTAGACCCTGGCCCCTCCAGCATCCTGCTCAGTCCCTGGAGCGCTTCAGTTGCGCCAAGTGTGCAGGGAGGAGGTGAATGCACACTCCAGCTCAGGGCTTGGTGGTCTGGGAGCCTGAGACCGGCTTGTGACCGAGGGCCGTCTGGGGTCACTTTCCCCTGGCCGGGTACGAGGCTCTGGAGAAAAGTTTAAGGCGTCGAGCCATGTCTCCCATCTTCCTTCCCGCCTTGGGCCTGGCCGGGCAAGGAGCGCTCAGGGGCGGCTGCTCCGTGGACATCTGGGAAGGGGAGGCAGAGGCCACAGGCGCCCCCCTACCCTCCCTCAACACTCCGCGCGCCTTCTCCAAGTTCGCCCCAAGTTTGTGAGCGGCCAGGTGGGGGCGGGGGCCGTGCGCGGGACGGCGGCGCTGCCGGAGGGTGGGGTCTGGCGCACGGGGCGGGCGCTCCGCCTGGCCGGCCGCTGCTGGCCCCGGATCAGGGAGCCGATGTGGAATTTCCTGCCCGGCCCGGCGCCCCTCCTGCCGCCCCCCGCCCGGCCTCGCACTCCGCTTCCGGCTGCTCTCGCTGCGGCCGCACCCGCGCCCGCGCCCACCCGCGCCTGCCCCGCGCCGCATGGAGGGCGCAGGGCCCCGGGGGGCCGGGCCGGCGCGGCGCCGGGGATCCGGGGATCCGCCGCTGCCGTTCTGGCTACTCCTGCTGCTCTGGCTGCTGCCCGGCCCCGCGACGCTCCAGGAGCTGAACCCGCGCGGCCGAAACGTGTGCCGCGCGCCCGGGTAGGAGCAGGGCCTGGCGGGGGGAGGGGACGGAGCTAGCGGGCCGCTCCAGGGCATGGGGTGGCAACGCCCGGCACGGGTGGGGGCGCCCGGAACCTCCCTACGCTACATGCAGGGGGCCCTTTGGCCGCCCTCGCCGACGCCGGCTCCGTTCCAGGCCGATCCTGGGCCCCTGGCCACAAAGGTGCATCCTAGGATACCTTTGACCAGAAGTCACCTGGAGGGATAACGGAGTGATTGGAGCTCCCGGGGAGGGGAGGGGTGACACATGGTGTCCAAGACTTCAGGAAAGACCTGTAAAGGGACCCTTGGATTGGACTGTGGAGGCCGCAGGGAGAAGCCGAGGAAGGGCGTTTCAAGCAGAAGGAACATCATATGCAAAGGCCTGGAGCATTAGTAGTTTAGGCTGGAGTGGGAGTGTGGAGGAGGGTCCAAGGGAGAAGAGGCAGAGCTCTCGAGAGGCAGGAGCCAGGGAGGTCTTTGGGCAGGCGAAATTTGGAAGGTCAGATTTGTTTTAGAAAGAGCGGGCAGGGGTAGAGGGAAGATGGTGACCAAAGTAAGAGCTTTGAAGACCCAGCTCTTAGAGTGAACCAGAAACCAGAGTCGAAAGGACAATGACCGGCGCGGGGATGGGAGGACGTGGAGACTCTTGGCGCCTCGCGGAGGGTGGCGGTACTGAGTGCATGGAGAAGCAGCGCAGAAAGTGGGGCGCCACGAGGATCCGTCTGGGGAAGTTGGTATGCGACAGTTAGCGGACAGGCCTGACAGGAAGGCAGCGGACCCCGGAGCTTGCTCTGAGGGCGAAGAACCGAGCATAGGACGCCAGAAATGGGCGCGGGCGTCAAGGGACGCGGAGTTGGCTGGTCTGAGGCCACGGGGAGGTCAAGGGCACCTCTGTGGGCGGGCTAGGAGCTGGCGTGTGGGGGCGTCCTGGCGGTACAGAGGGTGGGGGGCGCCGCACTGCGGGCAGCTGGAGAGGCAGCCATGGGACTCTGGGCTGGTCCCCTTGGGGCGCAGGGTTGAAGGCCTAGCCCAAGTTGTCGTCGGGGGTCGCCATAGACGAGGGGCAACTAGGCAGTCGCGCTGGGTTTCGGAACTCGGGTCCGAAGCGCGCAGACCCCTCCCCGCTGCGAGCTCCGCCTCCCGGGTGAGGGCGGCCCAGCCTGGCATCTGCTTCGCATCGACGCCGCCGCCGCTGCCGCCTCTCTGGCTGCCCCAGGAATGCAGCGGCGGCAGGGGCGGGCGGGCCGTGCCTGGAGAGGGGGAGGGCTCGGTCGCCGTCCTGCTCTGTCTGCCCGACCCAATCCTCCTCCCCTAACGGGGCCCGGTCCAGGGATGGGGATCCAGTGGCAGGATGGAGCGGTCAGGAGCTGGAGCAGGAGAGCCCTTGGAGTCCAGGCTACTAGCAGCGAGCCCTCCTCAGGAGTCCAACTGTTTCTGTAACCAAGGGCCGGAGTTTTTGTTCAGATTCTGGTGCCAGTCTTGCCCAGCTGTGTGAACTTCAGCAAATCCTTAACCTTTCTGGGCCTGTCTCCACTTCTGAACAATGGAGTTGATGATGGAACCCACCTCAAGGGGCTTAGGGGAGATTACTGTGATGATGTGGTTCAGGGGAAGGACAGTCACTCAAGACACAGAGGTCCAGGAACTCACCTGGTAAAATCCTATGTATCGGGCTGGGGATTTAGCTCAGTGATTCCACCGCCTGCCTCACAAGTGCAAGATCCCGAGTTCGATCCCCAGCACAAAAAAAAAAAAAAAAATTCCTATGTATCTACTGTGTGCCAGGCCTGTGTCAGTGCAGGAACACAACAGTAGAGACCAATGCCCCTGTGCCAGCCTTGTGCCTTTGGTGGGGCAGACATATACCCCAGAAAACGAAGGAAGTGGGTCTGGACTTCTAGCAAGAGCTGGGCCTAGGAAGCTGGGAGTGGCTCAGTGGTAGAGTATTTGCCTAGCATTCATGAGACCCTAGGTTTGATCCCCAGCACTGAAAGGAGGGAGGGGGAAGAAGCAGGAAGGAGGCATTGAGTAGGGGGGTCCTTTAGGGTGACCTGGGGAGACCCACTGAGAAGGTGGTGAGTGTGCCCAGGCCTGCAAGACAGGAGGAGGGAGCCATGTGGGTGTCTGGGGCAAGGCTCCAAATCCAGAGGGCACATTGGCAGCACAGTAAGGAGCCCTGGGCTGTGCAGAGCCCAGGAGGGCAATAGTGGAAAACAACCTGGGAGCAAGGCTGGGCAGTCCGCAAGGAGTCTGCTCCTGTTGTGAGGCCTTGGCCTTCTTGTCTGAGGCAGTTGAAACCCAGGGGGTTTTGCACAGAGGAGGGGTGGGATCTGATCAGAGTTGGCTGCAAGTGGCAGATGCACTGAGAGGCAGCTGGGAAGTCGGGAGACACCATAGAGATCAAAGGTGGCTTCTGGAGGCTGGTGCAAAGTAAGGGAGACTTGGCTGCACTCTAGATGTGGTTTGGAAGAGAAAACAGGTGTATTTCTCTTGGTGGATCTGTTGTGGGTATGAGAAAGGAGTCTGATGCTTCCTGGGTCATGAAAGGACAGGGGTGATCTGAGATGGAGAAGACTTGGGGTACAGAGGTCGTCAAGAGTTCAGTTTTAGGTAAGTTGAGTATGAGATTCCCATGAGTTCTCCCTGAGGTGATTGTCCAGGGGGCAGTTGGATTTGTAAGTCTGCCATTGAGGGAGAGGTGCCCCCTGGAGGATCCCAAGACACTGTGAGGATGGGACCTTGTGAGTTTCTTGAAGGAGCCAGTGTAGACAGAACAGAGGAAAAGAGAGATTGAGGATGAGGACAAAAACCAAAGGAGAAAGGTTCTGGGGGCAGAAGGGCTAGACAAGTGTGAGGTCACAAGTCAGGGCACTGCATGCAGAGAAACTCCTTTCCATGGATTTGAGAGAGACAGAACAGGTGAGTGTCAAGCTCAGGTACAAAAAGGGGGTCTAAGATTGGAAAAATCAAAGCAGGTTTACATCACAGTGATATAAGATCTTTATGGGGAGCCAGGCATGGTGGCATCAGCCTATGATCCCAGTACCCTGAGAGGCTGAGGCAGAATGAGCTCAAATGCAAGCCCAGCCTGGGCAACTTAGCAATTTAGTAAGACCTCAAGAAAAAAAAAATCTCGGGGTGGGGATTTAGCTCAGTGGTCCTGGTGCCTGCCTCAAAAGTGTAGGGTGCCAAGTTCCATCCCCGGTACCAAAAAAAAAAAAAAAAGAAAAAAATCTCTAGGGACAGCCTGCAGCACATTGAGCTTGCTGCTGTGCCTTGGCTCTCCAAGGTCTCACTCCACTTACAAAGCAAATGTGGGACCTGCACCACCCCCAGCTATCTTTTGCTGTCTCACCTTCATAAGATCTTGAGTTTGTGGGTTTGCCTGGCCTGCTGTGCTAGCCATTTCTTGAATGAAAAACTTGTTCTTAGTGAACAGAAATGGGCTATGTCCTGCTGGTGGCTGTTAGCTCTGCTGCAGTGAGACCTGGGTGCCCACTGTGGTGGGGTAATGACTGACTGTACTTGGGCTTCCTGGGACTATGCTCAGAAGTCCTAGGGTCATCATGAACTGGAGAGCAGACAGTGATGTAAACCACAGCCATGGTGGAGCTCTTAGCACATGCCAAACACTGCATATACCTTGGGGCTCTTAATCCTCCTTCCAAACCCATGGGCCCTGTTCTATAGCTAGGGAGCCTGCAGCTCAGAGAGGTGAAACTCCATGCCTGAGGTCATCCAGTAGTGGCAGACCTAGTCATCAACCCAGTTGAATGTGGCTCTAAAACCTGGCTTATAGCCACTGAGCCATATACCAAGCTGCCCAGGGCAGAGGCCTCCCCAGCAGGCCACATAACAAGGCTGCTTGTAGGAGGGACATTTGGGTATGCTCTCCATCCAGAGACTAGGGTGCCAAGGGAAAGTAATGGGCTGATGGAATCTGGTCTTCCTGTAGATGAGTTCCTTGGAGCCCATGGGTCAGGGCTAGATGAATGGAAACAAGGGGAACAGGAAAATCCAGGCTTATTCTGTGTTCCTATCTGTGGTTTCTAATTTTATTTGTGGAAAATATGCTAGGCTTATTCCCCCAGTTTGGGATTTAATGGGTCTTTCTCTCCAGGTCCTAACTTTGGTCTGAAGGATACCAAGCTCTTTCAGTGGGAAAGAGGCTCCCCTGGGGCCTCAGAGCCCTATTCAGGTTGTGGCCTTTATCATGGGCTGGGAAATGTACTGCATCTTCTGCAGTCTGGGCAGGTATGCAGGGCATGGTGTGGGGCAGTCACAGCTTTTCCCTTTAGTCTGTCCCACCCCACCAGGGTCTTCAGGATCCCTCCCAACTCCTCCCACCACCACATCCTGGTTTTAGATTTGGATGCTTCAGAAGATGCATACTCCTTTTCTCTAAAGTGTGAATGGTTGCTATATTCCTCTAGAACATTCTTTTAGGTCTAATGGGACTCTGGGAACCTGCAGAGTCTTAAGTACTTTCTTGTTGCTGGGACAAAATACCCAACACCCACAAGTTAAAAGAGGAAAGTTTTATTTTAGCTCACAGTTTGTAGAGATTTTAGTCCATAGGCAGCTGGCTCCAAGGCAGGGTGGCATGGCAGAGGAGAAAGACCTCATGGCAAGGCAGGCAGAAAGCAACATTAAGGGAGAAGGAAGGATGTATATGTACACTCTTCCAGCCCACAGTGACCCATCTCTTCTCACCAGGCTTCACCCAGCTGTAAACCCATAGGTGGACTAATCCGGTATCACATACTCATGATCCAGTCACTTCCCAAAAGCCCCACTTATGAGGCATAAGGCTTGGGGGGGGCATCTAGATATAAACCATAACATGCAGCTTTAATGGCTGTCCCTTTCAGCTCCTTCTGCCCCCTACCCCAAATGTGGGCACACTCCAGCCTTTAAAACCCTGGGATCCTGCAGTTAGAAATTACCACCTAGGGCTTTGGGGTGTAGCACAGTGGTACAGTTCAAGACTTGGATTTGATCCCCAGAATCGCCAAAAAATATCTTTACTTTGTAAAGCCAAATAAAATTAAACATGAATACAACAGGTATCCCCTATACTAAGTCTTCCCCTGCTGTCCTAGGCCCTTCAAGATTTTACTTTCTTTATCCGCATGGACTCCCCATGTACCTGCTCCACCCCTAACAGAGGTGCAAGCCTCACTCAGCCACCCTGCAGGAGCCCCCTCTGCCAAGTGGGCTCTTCCTTGTGCCCACACCCACTTGTCCACCCTAGTGTCTCTCTAGTTCAGCTGGTCCTGGTGGACCAGAGAGACACTCTGGCATGTCATATTTAGATCCCTGACACCCATCTGGTCAGGTCCCCCATCCTGAGAGATGCTCTAAACCTCTTTCAGCAATTGCTCAAGGCCCAGGGATCTCACCCTACCCTCTAAGTCATTGTTGCTCTTCTGGGACTCCTAGGGCCCCTTTTTACAGGCCTAGTGGCTGGGGAGGAGGGCACCAAGGAGTAGTTGGGATGGGAGGGCTGGGAAGTTCTTGGAGGTTAGTTGTTTCTGATGTGTCCTCTTCCCTCTGGTGCCCACTGCCTGAGTGCTGGACTTTATGTCTTTTGATCTGCATCTTGAGTCTCCTGAACCTACTACAGGCAGGGCGGCGGTAACCACCTCCCTAGGGCAGGACTCAGGGAGGTATAGCAGAGGCGGGTGAGAGGGAGGAGCCCCAGACGGTGCAGACTGGCCTTCCAGAGGGGGTGGGAAGGGGGGTCAGTCTCTGCCATCCTCCTTCTGCTCCCAGCTCCCAAGTGCCCACATGCTGCATTGGCTGGAGACAGCAGGGGGACGAGTGTGTGATCGGTGAGTAGGGTGCCCCAGGGGTCAGGGCGGGAGTGGGGGGCGGAGGAGGAGAAAACACCCTTGGCAGCTCCATCTGGATCTGTCTTGTCCACAGCTGTGTGCGAAGGCAACTCCACGTGCTCAGAGAACGAGGTGTGCGTGCGGCCCGGAGAGTGCCGCTGCCGCCACGGCTACTTCGGTGCCAACTGCGACACTAGTGAGCCGGGGGGCGGGGGGGAGCCGACACTGGGCAGCGGGGCAGGGAAACTGGAGAGCAAGAGAGAGGGCTGGGGATGGGGTGAGGCCTGATCTCGAGACTGGATGGCCTTGGGAGGCGGATACTCTGAGGCAGGAGATGGGGTGCGAGACGGCCGCCCACGCAGAAAACGGAGCCTCCCACCCTCTCCTCCCTGCAGAGTGCCCGCGCCAGTTCTGGGGCCCCGACTGCAAAGAGCGGTGTAGCTGCCATCCCCACGGGCAGTGTGAGGACGTGACGGGCCAGTGTACGTGCCACTCACAGCGCTGGGGCGAGCGCTGCGAGCATGCGTGCCAGTGCCAGCATGGCACGTGCCACCCGCGGAGCGGCGCGTGTCGCTGCGAGCCTGGGTGGTGGGGCGCACAGTGTGCTAGAGCATGCTACTGCAGCGCCACGTCGCGCTGCGACCCGCAAACGGGCGCCTGCCTGTGCCAGGCAGGGTGGTGGGGCCGCAGTTGCAACAATCAGTGCGCCTGCAACTCGTCGCCCTGCGAGCAGCAGAGCGGCCGCTGCCAGTGCCGAGAGGGCATGTTTGGCGCGCGCTGCGATCGTTACTGCCACTGCTTCCGCGGCCGCTGCCACCCGGTGGATGGGACGTGCGCCTGCGAGCCGGGCTACCGCGGCAAGTACTGTCGCGAGCCTTGTCCTGCCGGCTTCTATGGCCTGGGCTGTCGCCGCCGGTAAGCTCAGGATCCCTGGGGAGGAGGAGGGAGGACAGCCACCCATGGGAGCGGAGGGGGACGAGTCTGGGTCCCGCCTTGCTTCCTGACCTTTCCCTAGGTGCGGCCAGTGCAAGGGCCAGCAGCCGTGCACTGTAGCCGAGGGCCGCTGCCTGACATGCGAGCCCGGCTGGAATGGAACCAAGTGCGACCAGCCATGTGCCACGGGCTTCTACGGCGATGGCTGCGGCTACCGCTGCCCGCCCTGCCGCGACGGGCACGCCTGCAACCATGTCACCGGAAAGTGTACTCGCTGCAACGCAGGCTGGATCGGCGACCGGTGAGCAGCCGATGCCAACCTCGGCCCAGACACGCAGCCCCCCAGGACTTTTCGGAGGGTTCTGTGGGCTGAGTCTGTTCACCTCCACTTCTGCTGAAGTCCCCTCCCCTTGTTCCAAGGTGTGAAACCAAGTGCAGCAATGGCACTTACGGCGAGGACTGCGCCTTTGTGTGCGCTGACTGCGGCAGCGGCCACTGTGACTTCCAGTCGGGGCGCTGCCTGTGCAGCCCCGGTGTCCACGGACCCCAGTGAGTTCCCTGAGACTCAGACTCCCTGTACCACAAACCAGGAATTCCAGCCAGATCTCAGGGTCCTACGAGGCTGGATCCAGGGCTAGGCTGTCAACTCAGCCTTGGTCCCTTACTCCAGATAGAGATTGACCACGAGCACTTTGGAGCCTGCCCCTGGACCTGGATCTGATGATTTGCTCAACCTGTGGTCGGTGGGCTCCTGAGGTGACCCTGGTGCAGAGCCAGCAGGGACCTCCATTTACAGTCAAGGGTCTGGTCCTGCAGCCCTCTCCACCCATACACGAGTCATTCCCCAGAAAAGGGACTGCAGCCTGGCTGCAGACAACTGCAGACTGTGCTCCTACTTGTTTGCAAAACACTGGTCATCCAGTGTGTGTCCACCCGCTGGCGGGGGTGGGCTTCAGTCCCTAGAGAATGGAGCTAGGGAGCCGGAACCAGGGAAGGCGATATTTCGGGGTCCTGAGACTGCCTGCGCTGACCCGGTATCCCCGCAGCTGTAACATGACGTGTCCGCCCGGGCACCACGGCGTGGACTGCGCCCAGGCCTGCAGCTGCCACGAGGACTCCTGCGACCCGGTCACCGGTGCCTGCCACCTGGGTGAGTGGGCGAGAGAACATGGGTTTAGGGAATGCAGGAGGCGTGGGAACTGCGCTGACCTGGTTGTTCCCCTCCTTCCCCGCAGAAACCAACCAGCGCAAGGGCGTGATGGGCGCGGGCGCTCTGCTCGCCCTGCTCCTCGGCCTGCTCCTCTCGCTACTCGGCTGCTGCTGCGCCTGCCGCGGCAAGGATCCCGCCCGCCGGTGAGGCCCGACACCACTCCGGTTCTCCGGGTTCTCCGCGTGGTCCAGGATAAACGCTCTCTCGGCCCAGGCCCCGCCCCTGGGCTTGGCCCTACTCCTTCCAGTGTTTGGGGTCCCGCCGAGCTCGAACCGCCCCCAGGCCGGGTCCGCGCCCCGCCCCCTCGCTCAGGCCCTGCCCCCGCAGGGAGCTCTCGCTGGGAAGGAAGAAGGCTCCACAACGCCTGTGTGGGCGCTTCAGCCGCATCAGCATGAAGCTGCCTCGGATCCCTCTGCGAAGGCAGAAGTTACCCAAAGTCGTAGGTAAGGTGGAACTCATGGGGATCACTGAGGGAAACACCCACTGGCAGCGCAGAAGGCTTCTGGGAAACGGGAGTGAAGGAGTCCAGGGCTTCGTGTAGAAGTGGGAGAATTTTGAGGTTTGATGTGCGTAGGTGTGTGAGGAGGTTTGACCAGAGAGAAAGAACGGGAATATTGCTATGATCAGGACTTAGGGGAAGGCAGGAGTCATAGGTGTGTGGCTAGATATAGGTGAATGTGTGGGAGGCATGGGTCCTGAGTGATTACATCAGGGTAGATGATATTTGGATCTCTAGGCCCCCAGGCTGTAAGGCTGTACTATACGGCTTGGTGCAAAGATGCAGGGGAATGCGTGGGCACACGTTGGAGGGAATACTCTGGCCTCAAGGGGAAGACCACCTCCTGCTTGGATCCTGGGTCAGGGATTTAGCTCAGTGGATCCTTAGCAGTGCCCTGAGCCCTTCCTGGAAATGCTGACAGGCTGGTTCTTCACTCCCCGCCCAAGGACCCCTGGGGTGGGGGCCATGTTCCTCCTGTGTGTGCTGACACCCAACCAGAATGGACTCTTGATTCCCTCTTTTCTACTTGTTTCTGAAGATTGGGGTGAGGGTAAAGAGGTTCAGACTTGGGAGGTAAAGGGTATGGCTGAGAAAACCCTTTGGTTCACCCAGCAGCATGGCAGGTGTGGACATAGATGTGGAAGCTGGGCCCCACATCCCTTCTGTGGAGACCAACCAGCCAGGTTTGGGATCCTTGGAGGCCACGGCAGGGTGCAGGGTGCAGGCTGCTAAGATGGGCAGAGCCAAAGAGCAGCCTTAAGCCTTAAGCGTATAGTTTCGCTCAAAAGTGCTCCAAGGCTCCCAGGTCCCATAAGGCAGGATCTTAAATATGGCATGGAGATCCTGGGTCCCAGCCAAATGTCCTCTCTAGGGATCTCTTTCTGACCTTTCCTCAACCCTTCAGCCCAATCCTTTTTCAGCTCTGGCTGCACCTAACCCTCTTTCTTTATTGGGTTCACTGCTACCTGTTCTCCAGACCTGGTCTAGTGTCACTCTACCTGTTGAATTTCTTGTCCCACTTGCAGTCTTGAGGTAGGGTTGGTCTTGATCATTCCTTGTACATTTGGCCAATGAGGGCAGAGGCTGGGGCAAGGCAGGGACCCTGGCTCACTCCTCCTCCAGTGGCCCATCACGACCTGGACAACACACTCAACTGCAGCTTCCTGGAACCACCCTCAGGGCTGGAGCAGCCTTCACCATCTTGGTCCTCCCGGGCCTCTTTCTCCTCCTTTGATACTACAGATGAAGGCCCTGTGTACTGCGTTCCCCATGAGGGTGAGTATGACCTGGCTTGGGCAAGCCTTCAGTCCTGTGAAATGTTCCCAAGTCACAATCTCTGTGCTAGAGGTGGGAGCACACAGGATGGGAAGTAAGATGGTGATGCTGTTATATGGATGTTAGTCACAGAGCGGCTGCAGAGCTAGACTCAGTACAGCTGTTTCACCATGCGCTGGGAGGTGTGGGGAAATGCGTGAGCTCTCCTGTCACTAGTCATGGGCCAACTGCACTTTTGGATGAAATCAGGCAGAGTTGTGGGCCTGAGTAGGCGTGGGTTTGTGGACCTGGCAGAGGCAGCAAGAGGGGGATTCAGAGGGCATTAAGGTGCACCTTTGCCTGCAGCCTTGGGCTCTCAAACAGAAAGAAGCCTGAATGGCTGAAATGCTGGCCTCTTTTTTCCCTTCACCACCCCACTGGGTGACCTCAGCCAGGGGACTAACCTCTGAGCCTCAGAAGCATTGGTTCTTAAAAAAGGATAATGGAAGGCACTTGGGGAATGTTGGAGGGTCAAACTTGATGATGGTGGCACCTGAGGATGTGGTAGAGAATGGGTAAAAGGTCAGGCCAAGGCTAGACTTCAGCTCTAAAAAAGTGCCCCTCACTCCCCACCTGTCAGCCGCACACCTCGGGGCTCTAAGTTATGGATGCTGTGAATGTGCCCAGGGCAACAGTGACAGCCTGGGCCCAGGTAGAGGAAGAGGGAAGGTGAGGATTTGAGCCTGGAGGTTGGACCTGAAGCTGACTCTTTCCTTGTTAGAGGCGGCAGCCGAAAGCCGGGACTCAGAGGCTCCCACTGCTGCAGAGGTGCCCTTGACTACCCCGGTGTCCGCGGAGGAGGCATCTCCACTCCCTGCGTCCTCTGACAGCGAGCGGTCGGCGTCCAGCGTGGAGGGACCCGGCGGAGTGTTGTACGCACGCGTTGCCCGGCGAGAGGCCCGGCTGGCCCGGGCCCGGGGCGAGGCTGGAGGTTTGTCGTTGTCGCCATCGCCTGAACGCAGGAAGCCGCCGCCACCTGACCCCGCTACCAAGCCCAAGGTGTCTTGGATCCACGGCAAGCATGGCGCCGCTACCTCACCATCGCCTCCGGTCCCTGAGTCTGCACCCAGCCCCAGCAAGAGGAAACGGACACCTAGCGACACGTCGGCGCGACCAGAGGAGCCCGGTAGCCCCCGGGCCCGCGACACGACGCCGCGGGCCCCCGGGCTGGCTGAGGAGGTACCAGCCCTCGTCGCGCCCTCACCGCCCCGGGCCCCAGCGCGAGGCCGCGGCCCTGGTCTCTCGGAGCCCACGGACGCCGGTGGTCCTCCGCGCAGCGCGCCCGAGGCCGCCTCCATGTTGGCGGCGGAGCTGCGCGACAAGACTCGCAGCCTGGGCCGGGGCGAGGCAGCCTCCGGCACACAAGGTCCTCGGGAGAAGCCGGCGCCACCGCAGAAGGCCAAGCGCTCCATGCCACCAGCCTCACCGCCCCGCGTGTCCCCAGCGCCTGAAGCCATAGGGCCCGAGAAGGCAGTGACTAACATGCCTGCGCCCGAGACTCCTCGGAAGAAGACCCCTATCCAGAAGCCGCCACGCAAGAAGAGCCGGGAGGCGGCAGGCGAGCAGGGAAGGGTGGGAGCGCCCACCCTGTAGGGGGTTGGCCCTGCCACGGCTGCAGCTTTCCCTGGCTTAGCAGCGTTGCTTGCCACCCTGCGATCTGCGACCCCGACATCTTCCGTGCGACCTGGGCACGGGAGACCCCCCCTGCCCCGCCCCGCCTTGGCAGGAAGTTGTGTCTGATTGGCTCAGGCTCCAGCAGCCGTTCCTCAGTTGGAGCAACGCTCAGGTGGGAAGTCCCCCATCCTATTGATCGAGGCCCGCCTGGTGCTTCCTTAACTGGCGACTCTCTCCCCATTGGCGGAGTTTTGGAGCTCTCTGATCACCCAAGTTTCATTGGCCAAGACCAGATGAGTTCTGCCTAGAGATCACCACTTACTGGCCAAGCGTGTACAGTATTTGACTGGGGCTGCCTTTTCATTGGCTGAAGCCAGAAGCACTTCTAGCTGGGGCCAGGGCCTGGCGCCCCGGCCAGAGGGTCCCTTTCTTGGTAGTAGCCCAAGGTTACTTACATAGGCCGGCTCCAGGGCATCTATCTGGTTGATTGGAGCCTGCGGAGGAGGGCTGGTCTCTGATCCTCAGGGAGCTCAGTGCTCCTCGGCCTGTCCCACTCTTTCCCTTCTCTGGCACCCTAAGTCCCAGCCTCCCAGCCCTACCCCCTCAGCTGTCGAGCTGGTATTGATGGCCTCCCAGGGGCGACGCCCGTGGCTTGAGAAGATGTATTTATGTGCCCCAGGCAGGGCTGCTTCCAGCCTGTCCAGGAGCCCCAGGATGGGCTCCTCTTGGCAGGGCCTTGCCAAAGCTTCTTAATAAAGTGCCTTTCTTTCCCCCTCCTTTGCTGTGATTCCTGCCTGTCTGTGGATCTCTGGCAAAGTTGTCCCCCTAAAGAAACTGAATGTGACTTCCTCATGCCTGCACTCACTCCTAGGAATGACCCTTCCACCTAAGATCCCTGATGTCTCTAGGGATCATGTGGAAAATGAGCTGTGCCCAGCTGTCCCATCATTGATTTGTTTATCAAAGTTTATGGGGCCCTCCTCTGGTTTGCCCATCCTGGACTGGCCACCTGGGAAGAATGGGTCAGAGCAGATCTGGGTGGGAAATCCCTTCACTGGGAGATACAGTCAGTAGGACCTTGCCTTTGTTCTGTGCCTTTCCCACGGGCTGCCTCTGTTGAACTTGGAGGTCAGAGCTGTTTGGGGTAGGCCAGAGGCTGGGGCCAGGGGCCAGGGGGCCAAGGGTGCAGCCTCCAGCCAGGCCTCATCTCAAACAAACAAGGTCTGCCTCTGCAAAGAGGCCTGCTGTCCCCTCAATGGGCTCCTTGTCCTCAGCCGGAAACTCCTCACCCGCCTACTAGAGAGGCAGAGGGGATGGGGACGGGAGCCTCCCTGGACCAGAGCCCCTGCCCTGTGCTGGCCTGATTTGGCCACCCTGCCCTCTGACCTGTCCTTCCATCTGTAACCCTTTGTTCCCCAGCACCTTCACTGGTAAAGGCAATGCTCCTAGGTGACTTTCCAGAGCCACATACTTTAACCTTTCCACAGTTCCAGCTGTCTCCTTGAGTTCCAAAAGCTCTTTGGGCTCCTCCCACCTCCCTGCCTGTCTAGCAGGCTTCTTCCCCTTCTCCCCCATCTTTTGATACCAGCTTAGAGTCTTCTGATTCTAAGATCCTCCAACCCACTCCCTATACCCAACCTGCATCCCAGAGCCCAGCTGCATTGTCTGACTAACACTGCAGTACGCTCAGCCTTGGGTCTGCTTTGGTCAGCAACACAGGGGCTCAGTCACCTGTACGGAGATGGCGTCCTGCTCTTAAGTGGGGGGAGACATCCAGAATAGCTGATGGGCACACAGTGCCTGTGTCTGATCTACCCAGGCAGCACGTGGAACACAGAATGCCTGTCTCTGGGCTACACTGCTTCCCTTGGGGCAGCTGGGCACCCATCCAACTGTGGCCCTGTGGCTGGCCAGGCTCTGATCTATTTAGGCACCAAGCCATGCTAGCTGCTGGGGTTGATGACACAGGCTCAGAATCAGCCAGAAGGGATAGAAGACAAGCGAGGCCAGCATGGGCAGGACAGCGACTGTAGGGACCCAGGGGTGGGCAGTGCTCTGGTTTAGGCTTTTTTTTTTTTTTTTTGGTAGGTACCGGGGATCGAACTCGGGACCTTGCACTTGCAAAGCAGGCGCCAGTAGGCTTTTGTTTTGTTTTGTTTTTTGAGACAATCTCTCTCTTGGTAGTGCAGGCTGGCCTCGAACTCATGGTGATCCCCTACCTCAGCCTCCTGAGTGCTGAGATTAAAGGCATGTGCCACCATGCCTGGCTAGGCCATACTCTTACCTACGCTATGGTCCTGCCCACAGAAACATCCTGCTCCAGTGCTGCTGCTCCTTCACCCCTCACCCCTTAGTTCTAGCTGTCCATCTCCCCACCCTGGACCAGAATAATTTGAGGAGGCCAGGGGAGGTCACAGTGATCAAGCTTTCCTGGGGGCTCTTCTCCCCCTGCTCCAGAAGCCCTTCAAGCATCTGAAGCCCAGCCTGCAGAGTTCCTTTGTGGGCACCTCACAGAGCAGGGATCCCCTCTTCCAGCAGGCAGTCCCTGCTGCCTCCCCCCAGGAGGGTCCCCTCAACTCTCTTCTGCCTTTGGAGCCACCTGCTCCTCCCCACCCCCTCAGGGCTCGCAGCAGTGCCAGCTCCCAGGGCAGGCGCCACAAAAGGGAACCGCAGCTGCTGAAACCTCCGTTGCCATGGGGATGGGGACCACAGGACCTACATCTGGTAGCAATTGAGGAGGAAAAATTATGAGTCGTGGAAAATGCAAATATTTTCTGTAGCACAGAGCACAAAGGAATGTGGAGACTGGAGAAGGGCCTAGGCTCAGTCTGGTTTCCAGCAGGGATGCAGCATTCGTCACACAAAGAGGCAGGGCTGAACACAAGCACACAGCCAAGCCAGCAGCCACTTGCCCTGCAACACACACATGTTCACCACTAGATGCACACAAACATCAATACACTCAACCTGAAACACACTCATACACACACGCGCATATACACAAGCCACCAGAACCCCAGAAACAGACACATAGCAACATGTACCCATCACAGCTGGACCCAAAGAAACAGAGACACTCATCTGCCAATGCACACACACACATCTAGGTTCAACACACAGCAGCACCTAGACACACACATAGCCCTTCGCTAGCCAGAAATGGATACCCACTCTCCAGTGCAAGTGCACACCCCACCATTCATAGAGGCACTGCTACACTGCGCATGTGTGTGGAGAGAGACACAAACTGCCACTCAGACATGTTGGCTAGCCCACAGTAAAACAGGGACCTAGCCTGCACGATATACCCATGACTCATGGAAACAGAAAAAGATACGCACACTGCAATGTACAACATATCCACTAGACATAAGAACACAAGTGATATGCCAGCACACATGCACACACACACACGCATGCATGCACTTCCCCAGTCACACAGAAAGGCAGAAACACACATGTGCCATACAAACACACATGCACATCAGACACTCAGGCACCAAACATCCATTTCCTGTGACACGGCACAAATCATGATACAATGAAAAAGCAGGCAAATATCTTGCAAACATACATCCTGTCCCAGAGACAGGAGCATGAGACAAACATGTCTCACCATGCTCATCAAACACACCCTTTCATAGCATACACACCCCTCCAAGCACAAAACATCAACACACACCCCATACCCTACCACACTCACAGAAACACATCTCATCCTACAAAAGAAACAAACACATATCATATCTGACACACAAACACTGAGTGGCACCCACCAGAGACACACACATATCACAATCACAGATGCACTGAACAGATATGCATCTTACAAACACACACAGATACCACCTGACCCCCAAAAGAGACACACATACACACACACCAAGACACACAGCAACAGGCAAAAATAACACATACACGGGCTGGGGATTTAGCTCAGTGGTGCCGTCGCTTGCCTTGCAAGCACAAGGTCCTGAGTTTGATCCCTGGTACCAAAAAAACCCCCAAAATCCTGCTCTAATATGTTGGGCCAGAGATTTAGCTCACTGGTTCTGCCTCCTGCCTCTCAAGTGCAAGGACCCGAGTTCGATCCCTGGTACCAAACCCCTCCCCACATATGCACTGCAGCCAGCACACACACTCCACTAGATGCAACAAAATAAGGAAATGGATATTTACATTGTAACCTGTGCACATACTATCATATCCATATAACCCCCCCCACGCACACATATGTCCTGATGCACAGACAAGTTTATGAGGTGCTTCAAGATATGGTCTGTTCCTTGGATATGGCTTGCATGCCGATGATGGGCAACACCCGCAGTAGTGTGCCAGGGATAAGGGTTAGGAGAGTAGAGATCTGAGGAACAGAAAGAAAAGAATCAAAGGACAAGTGAATGAACATGTGCAGGTCAGCTGATAGGTTGTGGAAGGAGTAGAAGTAAGCAGAGTGAGGGGAGATAGGGGTGAGGAAGATCTTTGACAGGGTGACAGTGGGACATGGGATTGTGGATAATTCCACCTGGGATGAGCACAGCTGTCCCACAGATGACAGGCAAGGATCATCATTTTTGGGTGAGGTCATGATCAAGATGAGGTCATCTGCACTCACTGTTACCAAGAAGTTGGTCAGTGGGCCAGGGATTTAGCTCAGTGGTTTCGCCGCCTGCTGCGCAAGCACAGGGACCAGAGTTCCATCCCCGGTACCAAAAAAAAAAAAAAAAAAAAGAAGTTGGTCAGGGTTGGGGATGTGGCTCAGTGGTAGAGTGCTTACTTAACGTGTGGCCCTGGGTTCCATCCCAGCATAGCCAAAAGAAGAAGAGCCAGGCATGGAGGCACATGCCTGTAATCCTAGCACTCAGGAGGTTGAGGCAGGAGGATTGCTCCAAGTTCGAGGCTGGCCTGAACTACACAATGAGACCCTGTCTCAAAAAACAAACAAACAAACAAAAAACAAAAAAAAAAAAAAGAGGAGGGAGAGGGGAAGAGGGAAGGGGGAAAAAAAGAAGTTGGGGTTAAAATGAAGTCATGGATCTTCCTGGGTTTGTAATAGTCTTGGGATCAATAATGGACCTTCAGACATGCATCAGTCAGGAAGTCACAAAAGTCTTTGACTGAGTTGGATGGTGGGGATGGAAGAGACCACTGTCCTGGTATGTTGGGGTTACGGTAATTGCGGAGGTGCCTGTTGCCTACATCCTCACTGGAAATACTCCAGTGGCTTTTTATTACTGGTCTGTCGTGCAGAGGTGTGCACACAAGGGATTCGTTCTAAACATTCAACAATGGGCATACCAAGCACATTGCTGCCCTGTGATAGGGCTTCCTTGTAATTTTACTTGGGCCCTTAGGACCTGTTTGAACACAGGAGTTTGCTGGTGAGACAGAAACGGACTCGTGGTGCCATCTAGTGGTTACCTGTGGCAACATCTTGAGCTGAAAATATTGTTGGTACCGAGTCCCTCTGAATGAAGCATCGCCCAGCTCTGCTTGTGGTACCAGGTGGGAACTGCCCAAGGAATGAGGATTTCTGGTCAAGGTTACTCTCCAAAGTGAACATGGCCAGGTGAGAAAAGGCAGAAGACAAAGGGCGGCGTTGGCGCAAAGTTGGTGCTATAATTCAAGTTGCCAGACTATCGTTGATGAATACAGGCCCACTTGGGCAGGGTATAGCTCAGTGGTGGAGCATTTGCCTAGCATGCTGTATCCCAGCACTGCAAACAAAAACAAAAGGCCAGTGTGGAGAAAGTACCTGAGACGCAGGGCCCTGAAC